AACCTACCTGATACAAATAGATGATCATTCACTTTTAATTCCATGTAATCATTTTAACATAATTGTTCTTTTCCTCAGACAACATATGTGTATGATAATTGAAGTGGCAACTGTTAGTAATATAATCACTTAGCTGTTCCACCCTAAATATATAGGTGTGGTGTGCATTGTTATTAGCCTGATCCAATAACTTCACTGTTTTGTTCCACCAACAGACCCAGCTGTGTTAGTATCAATACTCAGCCTACAACTCTGCAAAGTGGCGCAGGTTGTGTGAGGAGTTGCTGTCTGCGCGTGTGCCTCTGACAATATGGCTCCGGAGCAAGCTCTGGGGCTCTCTGGGGTCAGCGCAAGCTGACCCGCTGATGAAACAGGAGACCTGCATGATTCACCAACACTCTCATAGGCGAGCATCCGTGAAGGCGACCACTCGCGTACGTAAGCTCTCCAAAAAAATGGTGGGATTCCCCTGTTGTCCATATTTTACTTTCTGGTCCTCTTGTCTCTTAGGCCCAACTCTTCAGAGGTGTTTACCAAGGTGAAGAGTGGAATACAGCGTGGAGGTTTCTCTTTGCCACAGAAATTTGCTTTACCCCAGTAACCGGTTACAGTACCCTGTAAGAGAAGAACCAGAACGCCTCATGGGAGAATCCTGCAGGTACAACACACATGAGAAACATACAGAATTTATTGTTGTGGTGAATGAATATGTGAGTAGATATCATGGGAATGGCATGAGAACGAGACATCCCTGAGGTGAAAGGTTTTACACTACTCTTCCCTTTATTATCAAACGCCATCCTTCTTCAATCAAATCTCCTTTCTGTGAGGTATCATTTAGATTGTGGGCGTGTGGACATCCCAGTACGTTTTCCAGGCGGACTGCCGTGGGCCAGTTTCCTGATCAGGTGATCTGGAAGGTCCTGGCTTGTGATACCAGGGTCTATGTCTTGAAGCACAGGTTAGCTTCACAGGTAAATATCAGCTGATATTCAACCTTATCAAACCTGTACATTGTTATATTAAATAAAAAGCAGGGGTCACCTGGCCGGGGGGTCCCCTTAAAAAGTCTACAAATTTGGATCATCTACAATTTAAAGGCCTTAAAAAAGTCTTAAATATGACAAAAAAATAAGAAGGGTTTAAATATGATTTAGAAGTCTTTCAAAATTAATCGGATTTGAAAGGTACTTCTTTGTAGCGATCGCGTCTAAATGTCGTGTTGTGCGGAAATGTTCCGGGCTGCACAGTAACCAGTACGGTAAGAGCCTTTCAGTTCCCCCCAACAATTTGTATGAATTAAATCACATGGAAACCAGTAATCACTAACTTTGTTCCAACCGCCGGCCCTTATCGGTAGACACATCAGCTAGTAACTAGCAACCAAAGCTCAGCATAAGCCGGCAGTCAGAAAACTCAGGTATCCTTATCGAATCTACTTACAAAGAAAATATGGGGAAGTTAAAGTTCAAGCCCGTATTTTGGTTGGAAAAACATCGAATTTAGTGGGCTTGTTGATACCAGTTGAGCGGGGAACGTGGTTTGGACAGCCCGCTTGGCAGCACCTTTTGCCAACAAAAAAATTGTGTTTGTTTAGCTAATGCAGCGTTAGCTAGTGCAGCAGCTCCCGCAACAACACCGGGGGACCTCCAGGCGACGTTTGGGTCTACTTCAACCCTAAAAGCGGAGGTGCTGTGGACGCTAAATACCGTAGTTAAACACCAATCATACAACAGCAACGATGAAAGATTGTAGCCAAGGCAGCAGAGCTCTGAATATAGCTCTTGTCCCTCTCACACAACCTTTTGGCTAACACGCTAACATAGTTCAGTGTACTTTTATGCTGTTATGTTCAATCATCGTTCTTATGTTGAACATGAATAAATGTACTTTGTAAGTAATTATGGGACGTATTTCTTCTTTCATAGCAATTTTCTTAAATTCTATTCAAAGTGGTCTTAAAAAGTCTTAAATTTGAGTTGGTGAAACCTGCAGGAACGCTTAAAAAAGGTTATTGGTTTTTCTGGTTTATGGATAATGTTAATACAACTCATCTGTGACCACAGGGAGGATCCGTCCACTTGGACTTCAGATCACCTGCTCACCGTTCAGTCACACAAGACATACCACTGGTGAGGAGAAAAAGAAAATGCATTTATCAGATCCTGTGTATAAGGAGGCAATGATAAGTAAAGAACACTTGTTATTTTTCATGTGTAAATTCAGTTTTCAGCCTTTCAAATATAGCGATTTAGTCTACATAGTGTTCTGCTTATTAAGCATTATCCTAAAAGCCATTAATTATTATGAATCATTTTAGAGGAATCTTCCAAAATGACAATCTGATTGCTTGAAAATGAGTGGAAGTCATAGACGGCAACCAAACATGTGTGAAATGTATAACTATATATTTGTACATTTTATAACTGGACTAAAACTATCATATTCAAAGTTTTAGTTCAGAAAAATAGAAAATGATTTAATGACAGCTTTGTAAAATAGCTTTTAACATGTTTTAAAATGTTTAAAAGTTTGTTTGAGTCAAATAATCATGCCTATGTTTCTCGCAGCACAATGAGACCCACCAAGACTGGAGAATGCAGGCAGAGGTGTATGGAGGAGGATTTTCTGGCCCAAACGTTTTGAATGTGCCAGCAGGGACCAGAGCCTGCTACCCCCTCACCTTTCACCCTTCTGCACGATGCACTGTCACGGTAATGCCTTTCTTTGTAATTCAAAATGTTTCAATGCTTATTTTTCTCTCTGTGTGTTTTGATTTGTCACAATCTTATTCAACACACACTTTCTGATTAAGACTGGAGCCATACGAGAACGGTAACGCAAACAAACCGAATTCGATATCAAAAAAGTCTTCCGTCACCAGAAACGTGTGAGTTCACACGAAAGCGCTGGAGACGCTGTAGTGCATATGCCGGGCATGTAGCTGGCGCTGTACTTCTGCCACAAAATACACCAAAAGCAGCGAAGAAGACTTCCCGCGCATGGTTGCCATGGTTGCCCTTCTGTTTATTCTCCGCTGTGGACGCTCTGGCTCTTTTTCTCCCTCCCCAAAGCAAGCGTGTGCTCCTGCTGTAAATCTCTCCGGTAGTCCACCAACAGATGACAAACACCCACCTCTCCGCCTCTTCCAAGGGACGAGGGAACGGTGCAGCAGAGTTTCAGTTTTACCTTTTTTCCGCCGGTCAACATGTCCGTTAAAGTTTACATTTTCCGGAAAAAATTTGAAAAGTGCCGGTCAGAGGTCTTCTTTGTTATTTATTGAGCTTTAAAACAAATTGACAACGACTCTATATAATAATATAAGAATAATAAATGGAGCCTCTCTTTTCCTCCCCCCATCTCTGAGCAGGAGAGGTGGGGAGAGGCGTAGACACGGAGCCGTTTGCCCCCCAGAGCGTTTCGTCCGCAGATCTACCCACCTAGGGACCCGTTATCGTTTTCTACGTTTCCATGTCGGCCTTGTGTCGCCGAACCGTCTATGATAGAGAACTGTAGCGGATACGACCGTTAGTACTCTCGTGTGGCTGCAGCCTTACACTGAAATCTTTACAGTGTGGTAGCTATGAGTTTGAATGTATTCAGGATCAATCAAGCATCAATGCTTATGTGACAAGCCCGCTTTCAAATCCCTTGCCACCATTGCTCATCCACCAAACCCTTCTGTTTGGTCTTAGTTCTTGTTAGCCCGTTCCGCTCCATGCTCTCAGGGAACAGTCAGCTTGAGTGCAAGAATTATCCTCGATGCCTCAAACAGCAGCCTGTGTGGCTGTTAGGATGATATCTGGGAATGTAAGCTTCCTCTGGGGCCAACATCATCTTTCAGGGCTTTCTGAGAATGTTACAGATATGTCTTTAACTGTAACTGAGCTTTCTCTTTAAAAAAAATAGTTTTACGAGTGAGACGTTAATAAAGAATGTGTTCCTAATCCAAATGGCTGCTTGGACTTCATCCCTACTCACAACAGGGCAAGCTGTCCTTACATAATGACCATGACGGTACTGAGCACGTGTTCACCCTGGGAGGAGTGGGAGAACACCCCCTGCCTGTGGACCATGTGCTACTACAGTGCTCAGCAGGTCAAACTACACACACAGTGATGAATGTCCCCAACTACAGCCAGAACAAACTCACTCTCAAGGTACAAGCAGACATGCAAAAACATCCACACAAACGGCTACTTGCTATCAAGGTTTACTATTATGCAAACTGAATATCTGTTTCTTGTCGAATAATAGAATCAATTCACAGACGTCAAACGTTGTGTTTTCTAGACATTGCATATTGTGCCTTTCCTTTCCCTCTGTATTAATGGTTGTTGTCTTTCATGTGTGTTTGTGTACATGCATATGCACATTCATGTAGGCGGAGACAGACCTGTCTGCTGTAAGTGGCCCCCCCTCCCTGGAGATTGAACCTGGTCAAAGCGCTCCATACACCCTGGCTGTGTTGTCATTGAAACGAGGAAAACAAACAGGTGATTCCCCCCCCCCTGCTGCATGTTTGTGATTGGAGATGTTGTGTGGTTCGTTAGTTAAACAGTTGGAAGTTAGCTGCGCTCAAATGTCAGCTCATTTGTTTATCAAAGTTTATTCAATTTGCTTAAACAGATGCACAAAGACTGAAACACTCTTGGTTTCCTTTGCTCTTATGTCTGTTTAATCACCTATGTTCAATTGTTGGTGATTAACTGTGTTCTGTAATGTTGTAGTCATTGTGTTGCATGTTTATGAATTGGCAGTTGAGTAGAAGAAGATGGTACACAGGAAATAAAAAGACTTCTATGAGTGGACAGCATGCTCATTACGATGCATTGATTCATTTTCATCAACTAGATGTAACTCAAAGAACTTAAAACCTAAATACATAGTTAAAAACGACCTAAATAAATAATAAACGTAGCACTTTTTCTTGCAGGCAATGTGTCATTTACAGAAATGTATAAAATACAGGAGGCAGACAAGCATGAAGGTAAGCTTCGTGTTGTACCATGTACTGCAGATGAACCATTTAGAGCGCTTTGACTTGATTAAACTATTGTGTGTCGGAGTGTTGGCATTTATTCTGGATATACGTATGCATGTGTGTGCCTGTCATTCAGGAAATGTTCCCGGGTGCTACAAGGTTCATTTCTCTCTGGAGATCATTTGTAAGCCAGCAGCGCCTATCAAGCTCATAGTTGTACAGTGTGTGGCTCAGGTAAGTTCTGCAAACACACTCGCACCTTTCCATCGGTATTTACTAACCCTTGCTAATTACCTTCATGGTTCAAATGTTGCATCGGCACATTTAATCAGACTTGGGGAGTATACCAAAAGCTAAACTTGTAACTTGTTAATCTCTCGTTGAAGAAAACACTGTTTGAATGTTTTCATCTTTCAAGAGGTAGAGGCAAAGATATGAGTAGAGAACGATATTTTTATTGAAGGAGAAGACGTGGAGGGGTAGTGTTTCTGCTGCAGGCCACTGTTACAGGAAGCCTAATCTTCCTTCTTCTCTAAGATCAAAAGAACATCAGAGAAGTGGAAACAGGTGTCATCTTTGAAATGTCTTTCCCAGAGCTCAGTTGCCATAGAGATCCCTGTCAAAAACCCACGAGGGGAGCCGCTGAGGCTGGATGTGCACCTGGAAGGAGACGACCTGAGTGGAGCCAACCGGGTATCAATTCCTCCAGGGGAGACTCTCACCTACAAAGCCACCTTCTCCCCTGGCACAGTGGGGAAGAGCACCGGCAGGTAGGAAGCACTGCAGACCACCCGACTTCTTGTTGGAGAAGGGGGTTAATTAAAAAGGTTCCCCTACACAATTGATGATTTAAAGTATTAAATACGTTGTTAGATTGATCCAAAAGGACATACCGTAATTTTCGGACTATAAGCCGCGCCTTTTTCCCCATTTTTCGACGCTGCGACTTATATAACGGTACGGTTAATCTATGGATTTTTACAGCTAACGGCCNAAAGTATTAAATACGTTGTTAGATTGATCCAAAAGGACATACCGTAATTTTCGGACTATAAGCCGCGCCTTTTTCCCCATTTTTCGACGCTGCGGTTTATATAACGGTGCGGCTAATCTATGGATTTTTACAGCTAACGGCCAGCACCTTTAACTCTATGGGCTCTATGGCCGGTCCGCGGACCCCCACCTTTAAGCGGCGGGTTCCAGCAGGAAAAGCTGGAGGCCGGAAAAGAGTGAGACAGGTAGCGCGCAAGAGTAAAAGTGGAACCGAGAGTGGTATGCCGCTGCTGCGGCTTATATTCAGGTGCGCCTTATAGTCCGAAAATTACGGTATTTGCCATTGTTGTGAATGTGGTCCATATATAGTATTACATTTGGTTGGTGTTTGTTTTCTGCCAGTGTGGTGTTCCAGTCAGAGCAGACAGGGGAGTTTTGGTATCGGCTGGAGCTTTATGCACTCCCTCCTCCGGTCTTCAGGCTACCAGAGGACTGCTGTCAACTGGGCAAGTAGGTGCACACACACACCAAGACACACAGTATCTCAATGCAAGGCTTAGATACACCCATGCATGACATAGTTTTTTGTGGCATTACATCCGGGAGCCAATATTGGTGATCAGCTTTCAAGCGAGTGTGTGTGTGTGTGTGTGTGTGTGTGTGTGTG